TTGCCACGCTAGACTTCCGCTAAAACTTTCAGTACTTTTATCAGACTTTGTTCCGGCGTTTGTCGGATAAGACATTATGACCGTTTTAAGTATCAGTTTAAATTGTTAAACAGTTTTCAGAAAATCAACTTTTTCACGGTAGCATCCCGATCAGTTTTCGCAAAAAATTAGTATTTTATTTAATTATTCAGAAAATTTGCGAAAAATCGCGCACTCTGATGTATTTAAAAATAGCGGGGTGTTACAGGCTGTGCGCCGACCGTGGCTGGGTTTGGCCCTGTGCGCCGCGTGTCGGTGTATCGCACATCCGCCCGTCCCCTTCGCGTAGCGACTAGGTGGTCTTCTCGTCGGCGGGCCACCTCCATGGCGTTATGCATCGTGTCCGGCCGCTCCAATCGGACTTCTGCGGCTAGATCGAATCTCAGTCCAGCTACGAAGGCTCCTACTAGCGCATCTTCAGACCAATCACGCACGCGACAGGCCAGTCGTTCAAACTCCTTGATGTATTCACGCAAATTGCCTGTCTGTCGGATTCGCGCGAGCGCCTCATTATAATTATGGTAATCGGACGTGCCAAATCGAGTAAGCAATTCTCTCTCAAAATCAGCCCATGTAATGACCTGCTGCCGCCTACGGTAGATCCGGGAAAGCCACTGCCACCATACGTTGGCCTCACCATCTAAGTAGAAGGCTGCGTACCTTACTCGATCGTGGCCATCGGTTTCATTCAGTTCGAAATATTGCACAATTCGGTTGAGCCACGACTCCGGATCACTACCCGTGAAGATGGACATTACGAACCTCGGCTTGTCGGGCTTAGGCCACTCACGGTTGGTGGATGCTTGTGATCGCCGGTCGAACTCATCTTCGTGTTCGTAGCCTCCGCGTCGCCGGTCCTCGTCGTGTTCGCGCGCGCGTCGATGCTCGCGTCGATCCTCGCGCCGTGGCGATGGCGTACGATCGTCGTGCTCGGCGTGTGGGCGCGGTTCGTTCCTTGGAGGATCATCGCGATGATGTGGTGGTTGCTGCTGGAACGCATGAAGGACCTCCTCTAATCGCTGTTCGAGTCGTGTGACAACAGCGTTGGTGTTGTTTTGACTTTCGTCAAGCGATCTCAGCCTTCCCTCCATAACCTCGCTCATACTTCGCATCTGGATGTCAAGATTATCGATCTTATCCTTTATCTCCTTGTTTGCCATGGCTTTTCTTTCTTCTCTCCGCTCTTTGCTTTGTGGACTCGTAGTGAAAGACGATGGTGGTGATGATGAATGAAATATATATATATATTTTTTTTTTTTTTT